CATCTGTACACATATTGTTCTTCCGCGATTAGGATAATAGGGATTATCTGCTTAGCCGAATTCTAGTAACCGATCCCCGGAAGAGATCAGTTGCGTAACCGTTGCGATCTAACAGCGTAACAAAACATGTGTCACCCATTTACTCGCTTAATTAAATTCTAATAATTGATACCCGAAAGAGAAGAATCGCAGTTGTCACGACGTAACAAAGCGTTTTATGGGAAGATATATTTCTTCCTCCTCCAAGGTCCAATGCTCGATCTGAGAGATAAGCTAATAGTGATTTGACCATTTCATGAATATCATCTTCATAATTACTATCTTTCAATTACTGTCTGTATAAATCTAAAACGTAAAGATGAATAATTAATTAATATAAAAAGAAAACGTAGCAGTTTATAATTGAATATTTATGTTGAGCTAGCATTAAGAATCCAAGCGGAAACTTTTTTAATCTTGGCTTTCGAGGATAAATCCTCATTAATTTAGCATTTTCGCCAAAAACTCCAATAAGAAGAGCCACAGTCTAATTGCAATCATTTTTTGCTCTTTCCATTGCATAAAGCTAGTTTGAGTACAATAAAAATTACTCCCAAAATGTACCTAACAAAAGAATTTATTATAAAATGTTATAAATCTGCTATTTATATTATTTATGTTATAAAAAGATTATGATAAAAAAGAAAAATACACTAAAATACACCTTATTTTCTGTTTCTGAGGATATGCCGCTAGTGTTATATTTGCCTACTAAGTTATTATTTATTTTACTAAGTTATTATTTATTTTTTCTACAAAAATTTTATATTTTTGTTATAATAGTTACTGTAAAAGCAATACCTATGTATTATATATGATTAAAGTAGAAACAATTTGAAATTATCTTACTTAAAATAACAAATTATTTATCACATGTTGTGATATTAATCTATTAATTGAAAGAAAGAAAAAGGTATAAATCTATTAAAGAAGGAAAAGAGTTGCTTGTTTTATAAACTTTGTAATAGTAAATAAAAAATAGTAAATAAAAAAATAGATAGAATTTCCTATTTTCAAAATGCTATTATATTTGTAATTGCTTTTAATTAAGTGTACATAACTCATAGATAACAATTAATAACTGTGTTATATTGAAAAATAAATATTACAAAAATATTATTAAAAAATAAGGACAAAGTTAATTTTTTTTTAATTATTATAGTAAGTGTAAAAAGATAAGTTTATTGATTACATGCATAAGCATATTAAGTTATTTTACAAATACGATTTTTTTATAAAATTTGAAGAAAATATTTTATGCAAACGTTATAATAAAAACAAATTTCAAAAATAATTAAGTCTTGTCATATTGATTATGGAAACTGAACCTTAATTTTTGTTTGTCACGAAAATAGCGGCAGCGGTTTTATTAGGATTCAAAATCTGATTTACGGAACCAATGGTAAACAGTCAATAACAGGAAAGTGTTAACTATCATTGATTTATTCTAGATTAAAATAAAAACTTTTATAAGATATACATATGAAATCACATGAGATGATTAGTATAATACCGATAGTATATACCATGTGAGTAAGATGTCGTTTTATGACGGACTGGAGGAACTTGTTTCTGTGATACAGAGTATCGTAATTAATTTGATAATGATATTAAGTACTTACAAAGCCAAAAACGAGATCTGTCTTATATTTTCATAAAATGAAAGAAGGAAACATGAAATGAAGGAAACATTAATTTCTCGTCTCTACTTTCATGAAAGTATGAGACGAGAAATTAATGTTTCTTTTAACTTCAACTGCTTCTTTTGCGTGTACAGTATATGGATCCCGTGCAGACGGTGACACCAGACAAAAACAATGAAAGACTAGAAGACGGAGTTTTTTTTAAAAAAGAAGCACATTAACAATCTGACTTACCGACCCAATACATGTAATTATCGATAAATTATATTAGGCTGATAAGTCAGATTGCCATTGATCTAAAGAATTAATATTATTTTTCTTACGCTTATTGTTAGTATTATGTGCTGCGTATATGAGCATATAATAATGTGTTTATTCTCCGAGAAAGCTGTGTCTTTCACATTCTTCCATTGTTTTTCGTCCGATATTACTGTCTGCACTGTACATACAAAACAAACAGTAAAAGTTAAAGCATTAAGCTCTATAAGACAGATCTCGTTATTGGCTTCATAAGTATTTAATATCATTATTGGATTAATCTCGGTGCATTCTGCGAGCAAGATACTGTTTTATAGCAAACTGGACGAAAGCACAGAAGCACATGCAGTCGATAAAATATCTTACTCGCATTAATATTACATGAATCCTACCATACGACTTCGTATGCATTTGATTTCAAAAAAGTTATTATTTCAGGAATATCAGAGGAATTTTTGTGAAAATTATAATTTTGGAAAATCAATTTGAAGTTCTGGAAGACAACGCACAAATTTCTCCACATTTACATGCATCTGAGCCATCTTCTTGTCAACAGTCTTCAAGCATCATTATCAATGAAGAATAAAATTTTTAGGAAGAAAGATAAAATCAGAAATATACTCTATGTCCGTGTACCAAAGTAACCGTGGAAGATGTAATACTTATGTGTTTAACTTTAGGATTAAGACATAATTTAATATAGCAAGCGCAAGTTGATATACTGAAAATGATAAATGCCATGTATAGAGAAGAAAGAATTCCAAGTAATAAATATATGTATTT